AGTCAATCAGAAGGAGTGTCACATTAGAATTTCAAAGTTTTGTACGACTCCAGCTAAGTTCATTTACACCAACAAATTGAATAACAACTGTCAGATGTAGAATATTTTTGGTATGTGTCCGAGAAACAAGCATTTACAATAAACATAGCTCAACTTCATTGGAAAATGTAAGAATGTGTTAGTTAACATTCACGTATGTAAAAAATGAGTATAACAATCATTTTTAGTTTAAAAATCATCGATCTGCAAAAAAATCAGAGAGTTATGTTATGTATAGTGTTCAAGTAATAAGTCTGCCTATCAGACGAATGATTAATTTCAAATTGAACAACGGTAACAATTAATTCAATGTTGCTATACATACACACATACATACACAAACATATGGCTACATCAAATTGATTCGACTGAATAACATTGAGTGAATACTACTATGCGTTAAATATAAATGATGGTTTTTGTCGTCATCGTCGTTGTTATATGTGAACCGTAAATCATCATTTCTTTCATTTTCTCTGCGATACCACCAGTAGTTTTCTTCACTGTGTGTTCATCAGTGAAGTATTCAAAAATAACAAAACTGATTCGTGCAGTAGGGTGTATCGTCAAGAGCAACAGAACAATTTTTATTCACAAAAAATCCAATAGAAATCTATTTGTTTTACTTCTTTACTAGGAATATGTCGGTTGGTATAATACACACCATTGGTGTACCCTATTATTGAGTACTGTCGTTGTAAAGCAGCAGTAGCAACAAACACACTTACATTCATTGACTTTTATATATATATTTCACATTAATGGATTGCTTTTTTTCACTATGCTTAGCTTCTGAATTTTGAGCGGCAACCGTTCAGATTTTTGCATAGAAACAACACACAGTGCTCATGGTGCCCATACACATAGAGCTCTTTTTCATTCGTTATAGTATGCCGAGCAATTTCAAAGCGCGTTCGAAAGCCAGTGCTCAATCGGTACCGAGCGTAGATATTTTCTCTCTTTATACGCTTTCTGCGGTGTGTATTCATGAACAACAACAACAACAACAAACGATGTTCGGCTTTCACACATATGGTCGTTGATTTGAATGTGGCGCAATACACTCACATAAATCTTTAAAGAGAAAAAAAGCATGCGGCGTACAATATTGTTTAGAGATTAGGGTAACTCACAAATTCTATAATACCGAGAGAAGAACGCATTACAATTTCTATTGGAAAAAAAATATTGAATGCATTTAGTTAGATTATTTCAATTATATGACGTCCTTTCATTTATAAACAGAATATTCAAGGCACTCGATTACAAGTTTATTCTTAGAAAACTCATTAGATTAGACTTTGAGTTTATACATATATGAATTTATGTAGAAATATCGTATGTAAACGTTCAAACGAGTCAGACAACTGCATATGGTGTAAGATATTTGTGCAAGAAACAAAACGAAATGTAATTCACTCATTGTATATTCCAGTATCGTAATTTAAAATTAAAACGTTTCCTTTTGCAATATTCTATCGTAAAGAAAATGTCAAATGAGGGTACTTTGTGAAAGTATCGTTAAATATCGGCGCAAACATGCGATCGATTCGAAGAAACAAAATCCAAAATAAATGAAAGCTGAACAGATGGTCGCGTCCAATACAAAATTCAGCCATATCAATGAACTCAATCGATGATAATGTGTCTTTAATAATTTACCAATGTTTGAGTATGAAGAAATGAAATATTTTCTTAGTACTTCACAAGAATATTTACATTTAATGTAAGGCCAAACAATGGATCTAATGTAATGTAATATTCATTTGCTGAACCTCATTCCGCAAGAAACAATAATTGGACGTATATGGCAATATTATATGTATGTCAATCAATTCGATGCAATGTCATTTAATCGATCTTTAGTTTATTTTCACCAGCATAAACGTATCGAAATCTACACAGCTAAATTTCACAGATAATTCTCAATGAATTCAAGATGCCATTATTGATTTTGTAATGTTCGAGATTCTCTTATATACACATATTACTTGGTTCTGAAACTTTTGTTTTGTATGATTCGATAGAAGCATTTAAATAAACATGTGAAATAAAGTTCTTTTTATAACTTTTCCTTAGTTTTCTTGGCCAAATTGTCCACAAATAAGCAACAACTATAGAAAAAGATGGGTGTATGTCACAAAGAATGGAACTGAAATGTGCACAATCGAAACAGATTATGGAAGACCAGGTTGTCGTGCAATGAATAATAGAAAGCGCAAACTTGTACATATGTAATGTACGCCTTAATTAGATGTGTAGAGTTGTGTTGTGTAAATGCGTTTGAAGAACGCATCACAGATTGAAATGAAAGTTCGTCACATAAAATGACATGCAAAGGCAATGCAATTATTACAAAAGCAAGCAGCAAAAAAAATAATTACGAATGATTTCGCCTGCGCATTCAACAAAAACGGCCCATTTAACTCAACGCAAATAACAGACAGGGATAGAAAGTGATGGCACAATTGCATGAATTTATTATATTATTCGGTTGGAGTCGGCTTTCAATTGTTTGATTGTTTAAAATAAAGATGTGTATGTGCCTCTTTGTGTATAGAAGTAATTGCAACGATCATTCACAAACTCACAAAAAAGGCATCAGAGATCATTGACTCGAACTCTTTTATTGGACTATTTCATTTAACATTTTTTGTCGCAATTTTTCACTCTTCAATTAATTTGTCTATAGCTAAAACTGAAGGATGACTTGCTTTCTAATCGCTTCATTCAATTACGAAAAATGCGGTGACAAATACACTGACGACAGTGGTGTAAGAACGAGTCTTTTTTTTTTAATATATATTATGATAATGAGCTTTGGGCATTGTTTGATGCATCATCCTTTTCACATCATTACTCATGTCATCACTCACATTTTAACTTATATGATCACTTGTATTTTATATCGCATTCTTCATACGATAAATTCAGCAGTCGCAGGTTAGTGTACTGATCATAAAAATAAAACGACTTCCATTCGCAATATTTATTCGTACAATTACAAACAGCATGTTTGCATTGATAAGAAAAAAAAGAAACCTCTTTATGACAAGAAGATAATTTGGATTTGACTTTAAACGCTCGATGGATTTAGCATAAGAAAAGCTTGAAATACTTTGACTATTTATTTATCAGTTTAAATTTGACCCTGACTGTATGATAATATTGTTCATATAAATATTGAATACACGCTGAATAGCCGTTTATTGTATACAGACCAAGAGAAGCAATTGATTGAACTCACTTAACGACCGTTTATGAATTTCATTTGTTCTACTTTAATACGAATTCAATACGATTTTTTTCACACATTCTCATGGATAGAAGAACAAACAGGTGACCTTCGTTGAAACCCAAAGACAAACTCACATATGTAAAGAAAATATTTCAATGTGGGTTGTTATGATCCCTTGTTACGATTCAAATGTTGCATGTCATATTTCTTCTCCGACAAACATAGTCAATCTATCATATTGTGTTTACATTTTATTGCATATAAACTTAGTTTATAAGAATTGTAAGAAAAGAATAGTTCATTGTAAAGTAACAAATTACCTTCGTGAAAGCATTTTGTAAATTGTTGCCTCGTCGCGACCTTTACTGATTCGACACAAAAATATACATATAGCGAAATAACTATTTTACTACGAAAAAAAACTTAAATCTCTTTTCCGATCAGTCCGCACTATCGTTCTTCATAAGAAACTGAAGAAATGTTAGCCGAAAAGTATTTTATCTCTCCTTTTTTTGCAAATCGTTCATCAAAACTGACATGTACAACAACAATCACATATGTACTCGGCGAGAAAAAAAATCACAGGCCTGGAAGCGTCTTTTTAACTCTTTAAATTAAATTTCACACACTAACTTTCGCGAACATAAACCGCGTGCGTAATCTTTAAATATATATATTATATATACAAATGAAAGGTCCTGGCTTTGAAATTAAGTTAAAATATAGTCGAGATGGAAATCATGTGTGTTTTTTGGATGTGATTCACTGTGCATTCACTGATAATATCGGGCTTAAAACGAAACTTAACATTCTCTATATGATTCCTTCATTTTCACAATTTGCAAACAAAGGCGAACCCGATTTTTTTTTCTCTAGCTCGTCACGGTCTTTATAATAAAAAGTTTTTTATTTGCTAACAATTTTTTTTTCTGAACGAAGCAAAAATGTTTTATTTTCGAGACAAAAAAAAAACTTCAATCGAATTTTACTTCAGCTTAGCGCACATAGAAAAAAAATATATGTAAAACTAGAATCAGGCAGTCACACTGAGCGACAACTGACAATGATGAAGGCTACGTTTTTGTACATGAAAACCAAGGAAGCAAAAAAGAGTATATGTTGAAAAATGTCATAGAAGACAGAGAGGGACGACGTTAGACACTTCACCATTTTCTAAGATTGTATGCGTTTTTGAATGAAATATTGAATGTAAGTGTGTATGTGTAAGTGAAGAGCAACTGTGTAATATAGAAGTGACATGCATTTGTAGCCAATCACAGCCAAGCAGCGTGCTGTCATCGTAAATGTATTCCATATTGGCTGATCAGTATATAACATTTTGCCAGCTTTGAAAATGGTTTACATTTTCAATTCGTTAAAATTCTTCATGAACACAAATATGTCCTTTTTTCTCTTCGAATGCGATATCCAAAAAAGGTCATGTATAAAATGAATAATTTTTATTTAAAAATGATTACAAAAAATGTTAAATTTTAGTATAATTTTCTATTTTTCCGATGTTGAAAGAAATGTACAAAAAAGTCCAACAGATGGCATTGTTGTTTCGTCTACCACAAAAATAGGGTCATTTAAATGTATTCGAGTGTGGATCTTGTAGAACTTAAATGTGTATATTGTGCAAGCTGAAGCATCTGTTGCATTATAGAGTTCATTTGAAAATTGAAAGCCGTCGCTTGACATACAACTGAAAATGTTCGTTAAAAATCTAAGATCCAATCGAAAAAGAAATGCATTTTTATATTAATTTGCAAATAAAGAGATTTTCGTTTTGAGTTTTGTAAATATCGCATTTAAAATTAATCAAAAAGAGAAATTTTGTTTTCTTTCTTTTTTTTCAAAATTAAAAAAAAAAATCCGCGTAAATACGTTAAGAGTGTCTTTGTTGAGCATAGTATAATAGAAAGGAAGTGTCGACAGGTGTTCAATATTGTGTTGAGAAATTTCTAATTTGGGCGTGTGTGTGTCTATTGCGCCTTTTTTGTTGTCCTTTTTTGTAACAAAAATTAGACCAAGCCAAAGAAAAATTATACAAAAATGAGCGTTCAACTAACGAATACAACTTTTGAATTGAGAATAACACCAAATAAACGCAAACGAGATGATATAAAGGAGCGAAAACAATATAACCATGGCAGCAGCAATAAGGAGAATCATTTCGTTTATAATAATTTTCTCGAAGTTAAATCGATTGCAGAATTAGTTGAAAGTAAAAATGTTTCAAATTCAAGTGGTGCAAATGTTTGTAATCCATTTGAAATTGTGCGAAAACCACCAAAGAAGAAGAATCGCAAAGAATTTCTGGACGATGGATGCTTTGTGAATCCGGCCTTAAATTTGAATGGGCCTGAACATGTTGTCAATCCATTTGAGGTGAGACGTGCAGCACCACTTCCAGAAGCAGTTCATCATTGCTATGAAAATACGGGACTTAATATACGAGGGGAAGAGCGTCAAGTAATCAATCCATTTGAAATTGTACGGGAGTGTACTACAGCATCGAACGCAACGGTTCTTGAGAGCGCAAATGGTTTGTACAAACAAAATTTCTTTTGGCTTTATTTTATTTAATTTAAAATCAAAATGCTGCTGGTCATGACGATGATGATGATTAATTTATTATTTTCAATTTGCATTGTAGGTATTGAAAATCCGGGATTAGATATTCATCAAGCTCCGTTAGCAATAAGCGTTCCGTTCACTCCGACCGTTGGATGTCGTATTGATTTCAAAAATATTCCTATTGAAGATCTAACGCCAAGCTCAATGATGAATCGTCATTTGGTATTTTCGCCAGTTAAAACGAACGAAACAACAACAACCACACCGAAACGAAAGAATTTATCGGTGATCAGTGAAGAGGCGGTTGACATAAGCAAAGAATTGGACTGTTATCAACTAGAATTGGAAAACAGTATGAACGAAGCCAAAGCAACAAATAAACGCGGCAAGAAAAATCTAATGGATATCAAACAAAAAAGTACATTTGCCAAACGGTTAAGCAGTGCGGCTATTAGTACTGGCAATGATATTGATGTTCAGTTAAAACCTACTGAAGAAGTCGCAACACCAAAAATCGAAGAACATTCGTGTTGTGACTCGAGCAATGGTCATAATGAATGTCCAAAATCATCAACTCCAAAAACTCCGAATGAAAATTGCATTGCAAAGTATTCGCTAGATAAATCGATGAGTATTAATGAAAATCCCGATGTTGTTTACGAAGAAGTTAATGAGACACATCATATTGAACTCGACATAGAAAATGAAACAGAAGAAGAAAACACCGACCAATTAAATAACGTTCGAGAAGAAGAAGATGCTGAACTCTTCAAAAATCCGGCTCCGTTTGTGCGTGCGTATCGTCGTGATTTAAGAAAACGTCCAACTACCATAATCAACGAACCAAGAACAGTGGCCAACAATGAACATGACGACCAAATCAAAATAGATGAAAATAAAAAGGAAATTAATGAAGTATTTAGCGGAATCCGAAGCTCAATTCGAAAAAGTATACGAAAATTGATTCATCCAAATTCTAGCAATAAAAGTAAAAATATCGATGAAGTTACTCCAACAAAAGAACCACAATTCTCAAATCCATCAAGTAATCTTCTGACTACGATTCGGCATAGTTTGCGTCGCAAGCAACCGAAGCAGCCACTAGCCACGTCAACGCCACGTCAATCATTGAACGATATTTCAATTATTGATACAGAACCGCGCGCTATCTATAAAGACACTGTATTTTCTGCGCGAATTAATAATCCAATCGACGAGAATTTACTTCGGCCAAGAACTAATCTACGCAATAGTCTTCGTCGATCGAAACATGCCGTAAAAAATGTCTTTAAGAAAAATACCGAAGACTATGAATTTAGAAAATAAGCCAATTGATACAAAATAATAAAAAGACTAATTTTTTCTCATTTTATGTTTCTTGTATAAGCTAGCTTTATTTTGAGGCCATATTCACAACAAATTTTTCATGCAAACGTCAAAATTATCCAGTTACAAGATCCATCCGCTACATCACAAAATAAAAACTCATTAGCTTATAAGGTCACCTTTTTTTAGTGTTATCATTATGTCTATTATTTATTCGCACAATTAGAGTTAGTATTAAAATCAAGTGTTCATTTACCAAAGTATTGTTTACATACATTCCTTTTTGTGAATGGAATTGAACTATTTTAAAATAGGTTTTTTTACTATTTTTCTGTTTTTCGACTATTTATTACTTCGAATTACAACAATACATAAATAAATGTTTTAGAATAAAAAATGACTTGAAATTGTTTAATTTAATTTTATTTTAAATGAAGTAATTGCGATATGTAAAATAGGCATGTATTTAGGCACATCATATTCATATGTTTACTTTGATATGTGTTCCGTATCAACGGAATGAATTATCATTCAAATTAGTTCCTTGTGCGTGATCTTTTTGAAAATTCTAACAATTCATTTTCTCTTTTTGTCATTTCCTCTCAATCATTCAAAGATTGAAATGAGAATCTATTCAAAACTAGTGGGAATGTTTTTTCAAAGGTAATAATTCACGGTTCATGAAAAATGAGCCGTTAGCATTTCCGCTGCAGTTATGCACCACAATGAGTACACGAAGTATGGGGGAATGCTCTTTTTTCTATGTATACCAATACACGCACACATTTTCGGTTGTATTTAAGTTAGCATTGCTATGCATATAACGATATTCAAACATTCCTTTTGTTAAGCAGTAGGGAAATAAATACATGCATTTCAATTATGTTTGATCCCGCAGTTTTTTCCTACTCTTTCTAAGGCTTAATATTTTATTTCTTTTAAAGCGTCTACCAATGTGCATTTTTTCAAGAGCTCATTTTTCATTCAATGGTGGTGGCAATTTTTTTTTTAAACGTATTCCATGATATGTATGTTGGCCTGAAAAATGAATGTAAATTACAACTCGATAGATATTTAAAGTATTCGAAATTAAAAAAACAATCCATGATTAATCGTAAACCTTAAGTTATTGTGTCATATGAAATGAACAGATTGGACTGGTTGCAAGTTTTTCAAACCATTTTACGACCATTTCAAATTGATTAAAATTCAAAGCAACCAACAACACTGTAAATGAATATGCAATTTTAAAATTCGTACATTTCATTAAATCCCACCAAAGCAAAAAAGAAAACATAATAAAAGTCAATATATTTCAAATATTGTGATCTTATTTCATTTCCATCAATAGTAATATGAATTCAACAGAATCGTAATTAAATTTGTCAATACAAATGATAACACTTTTCAAAAAAAAAATTAATGAAATTCCACTGATTTTGCTGATGTATAACTTTTTGTACACGTTTTCACATTCGAAAGTCTAAAACTGTGACCTAGAAATAATGCAAAATAAATGGTTTTTTCGTTATATTTAATGAAACTGCCACCTATAAACAACAAAAAAAAAAACATGCAGATGGTAGAGCGCTCGCTTTGCATGTAACCATTCTATCATATGTTTAGGTTTTCCAATGTTCAATAGAAATGTTAGTGTTCGACTGTGTTTGACCTATATGGAACGTCCAAACGACTGTATGAGCTTAATTCTATTCTTCGCATATTTACAAGCAAACGATTGAGACACAGCTCTGTTAAAGCATGAGGGGAATTAGCTCAGATGGTAGAGCGCTCGCTTTGCATGTGAGAGGTAGCGAGATCGATGCTCGCATTCTCCAATGTCTTTTTTTTATTTTTATTTTTTTTTTTACATATTATTATGTACTTCAATAGATAGAACTTATATTTGAAAAATAATATTTAAAAATCATTTTACCGAACTGTGACAATGTAATAACTTCGACTTATGTAATTAAATGACTAATTTCAATTTCATATTTGTTGTTTTCGATTTAAACAGAAATCAAATAATGTATTGTTTCAGAAATCAAGTTGCGTTGCGTTTACAAATGTCTCAGAATAAATGAATGTTATCTAAAAATATATTTAATCAGTGTGTTTTTTTTTTTTTTAATTTCATAAATAGTAAAAGTAAAAAAAGGATCTTGGAGAATGCGAGCATCGATCTCGCTACCTCTCACATGCAAAGCGAGCGCTCTACCATCTGAGCTAATTCCCCTCATGCTTTAACAGAGCTGTGTCTCAATCGTTTGCGTGTAAATATGCGAAGAATAGAATTGAGCTCAAACAGTCATTTGGACGTTCCATATAGGTCAAACACAGTCGAACACTAACATTTCTATTGAACATTGGAAAACCTAAACATATGATAGAATGGTTACATTACAAAGTTGCATCCCTCTACCTCTCACATGCAAAGCGAGCGCTCTACCATCTGCATGGTTTGTTTTTTTTTTTTTTTGTTTTGGCAGTTTCATTAGATATAACGAATAAACCATTTAAGGCATTTTGCATTGTTTATTGGTGTACTGTACGACGTTCGCATATAAAAAGGTGAACAAAAATGAGAGTAAGCAAAAATGTAAAAAGAAATTTACAATGTTTGGCATAATAGATTGAAATCGCAGTTTCTATAAAAAAATATTTCTCTCAGCAAACTTTTATTTAAGCACTTAAATTGAATATTAGTAAAACACAAATAATTTCTATTTAAAGTTTGAAAGGTAACATACATGTTTCATATTTCAATTGTATTGTTCTTGACGTTAAATAAATGCAAGCATAATGATTTGAAAGAAATCAAAATAGGTTCAGTGGATTTGAATTTATTTTGACCGTCGCCACTAATGATTCAAGCTTTAATAAAAAAGCTTCATTTTGAACAACTTTTTCGATTCAATGTTTTCGACATCACTTTTTGTAGTTGTATGTTTTTGTGCTTTAAATTATAATTCTCTGAATATTTTCCTTTTTAAATTTGAATTGGGAATTGAAAAAATATTGCAAAAATTCCATATCTTTTCGAATAATCTAAATCTTCGAATTCGAATCAAGAACTACATTCCAAGGATTATAGTTTTGCAATTCTTTTTGGTATTTCCAATTTGATTTCAACATAAAAATTGGATTTGTTACTTTAATTGCTTAATTTATAATAAATTGCATTACCAATTCAAATTGTATTTCAGCTAAAAATGCGATACATTTTGGCGTCCATTGAATGTATTTATTCATGTCTGATACAGATGAAGATAGATTATATGCTAACATGGAAATATACGAATGGTATTCTTTTTTCACATTTCTCGCATTCAATTTTTAAGTATGGAAAAGTCATTCATGAAACTAGATGCATTCATTTCCGAATCTTTGTGCCAGACATATCGTACTTACAGCATAAACATGGATTAGTCACACAGGTTCCATTTGAAGATAAAACAAATAATGGATTCAATCTTGTACCCTGATCACATATGCGATTCTCCAATGTTACTGATGATGATGGTTGAATTGTGCTCAATTCGTACTCTTTTTTCCGGTCATATTTGTATTGTGAAGTGCCGTTCATTCGTTCGATTTGTCACATGTTGGATGTTGTCGAATGGTAAGCGGCACGGTGTCTGGGTGTGCCACTCACGAACCCAACGCCAAATAAATATACACTTCTTTTAAATGAAGATATTTTCATATTTTCTGTTTTGTATTCATTTACAAGCGGATTTTAAATTTGACCATACAATTTAGCAATGCAAATTACCATGCATATTTCATAGACCAAGCGAAAAATGGCACCTGAGTACCAAATTGGATCTTCAGAACAATTTGTTTCGGTAAATTAACTTCATTTCTCTTTTGACATTTCATTCTTTTTTATTCCGAAAAATAAATCCATGTGAGAAGGATAAAGATTCTTTTTCCACATGTTTTGCAAATTCTAAAATTGAAAAGAAAAAACAAATACTCAATACCCAAAGGAAAGTATTTGATGAAAATGCAATATTTTTTTTGACACTTCAATTTACATTTATTACCAAAATTATCACCCACATCGAAAATTATATAGAGGGACAACATTTATCAAATAAAAATGGAAATTGAAAACATTGTGGATTTACAAATTGTATGTTATCATCTTTTTTCTGGAATGAAACAAACGACTCCTATTTGACCGAATGAAAATTGTATACGACAAGGCAAAAATTAGGTTTACACACCCATTCATAGAAAGTTTGAACAATAATTTACGCAAACCACAATTTTATCAATTTTACCATATATTTAAACGAAAACTTTTCCATTTTATTCTGTTTACTCTTTCATTCTCGTTACGATTTCTTACTTGAATTGGCTTGTTTTAGTAGATATTTAATGTGATTACGTTTTACTTGGTGATGTATTTCTTTTCTGGGAAGTAGCATATACAATTGTACAGTTGTTTTGTGCAGTATAAATTTGTTCGTATCTTGCTTTATATTCCGACAACATCTAAGCGAAAATAATTCTTTTCCAACGTTTATTATCTGTTTTGTGTTGGGTGAATGACCTTAATAAGTGTTCGTGTGAATTACATAGTATAAACTCAAACGCTGGGGGCAATAAACGAGAGACATGCTGACGACAAATAGTTTTAGTCATTGCAATTCGCAATGATAATCCTTTTTTTTTGTGTTCGTATTGACTAGCTGCCGCGCATAACCGAAAACGCATTGGCGTAGGTCATAAAACATTGAATGCTTCTACAATCTACATTCTTTTTGTTTACATCCGACTCTAAAGATGAATGGATTGTATTGAACAGTACATTGTTCGGCAAAATTTTTAGATGATTTTAAAATTTAACTTAAATTGTTTCTAATTCCTATAGAAAGTTGGTGTCTTCATATTAATTTTAATAAACAAATCAAATATGTGCTTGCGTTGATGTATTGATTTTTTGCTGTTTTTCTGTATATTATTTATATTAAGCAGACCAACCAGTAAAATCACACGCAGATTTATTTTCGGCCTGCCGGTATTCTGTAATGATGGAAAAACGTCATTCATTTGATCAGTTAAATCTTGGTTAATAACCAAACCTTTGCCCTCCAAACAGCTATGTCGTTCCATAACGCACGGGCTAGCAAATATCTTATTATTTTCACCATCTGTTGCGCAAACGGGACTGTAAATAAAGGTACATGACTTATCACAATTACTTGATTCCAGTTGCTCTGCATTTTGATCGTATGGTAGTGCATCAGAGGCCACAAAAATGAACACTGAAAGAGTTAAAAAAAAATAAAACAAATCAAATCACAAATATCACCAATTATTTAAAGTTTTGATATTTACAGAGCGTAAAGAGAATTTTCATTTTGAAACTTTGACTAATATCGGCAAAAAAACTTCTCAAATAAACAATACACATAGTTCAGATGCTAAAATCACAATATTGTTCGATACGCCAAAAACTCTTTATATATAAACAGTCAGTTCGACATCAATATGTAATGACTGTGTGCGAAATGTTGAAGCAATGACATCATCTGTTTTCATTACCAAATCATATTATTTTGAACATTCTTATCTCATTTTTGCCGGTGCAATCAATGAAAAACCGGTTTATGCAACGTTAGACTGAATAATTCTGCAAAAAATACGCGGATTTCAATTGTAGTTTTCAAGTTAAAAATATAACTTCTTCAATTATCAAGTGCCTCCCACGCAATAGTTTTTGATTTTCGATGAACCGCGTAGATTTTAATTCAAAACAGATAAGTTGTGTCACCTTAACCTGGTAAGCCATCATCTAATAAATTTCTTTACTAGTTTTCTGTACATCACCTGAGATAATCGTGAGATTACATTTGTGACATTCAATTATTATTTGTATTTATAATTCATTTTAGATTCCCACCAGATGCTGTTGAAATTACTAATAGATATTTGGCTAGCTTGCTAGAGAGAAAGTTAGCAGAAGTCAACACATTCGGCGGTTGATTTATAATTCCGGCAACAAATACAACCACCAATTCAAAATTAAAAAATATGTCGATGTTGAAAAACAAATTCCTTTTTCAAACATTTAGTCGATTCTGAATGTAAATTCAAATGCACTGTTTTTTATATCAGGTCAATTGTTTGTTAAGCACAATGGAATGAAGTATAGCTACCATGTTTTGAATTTCAAAAGGCAATTTACCTTCAAATGGTTGACCAAAACAATGAGTACTCCAAATTAAATAGAGAGAGAATATTTTCATGTATGATTTTCTGGTTTTGTTTGATTTGAATCTAATATTTGTGTTTTGTGGCTATTTGTTCTCAATATTATATTGTAAATTCGGTGTATTGATTTCAATGAATTTTTCCCACAATTTAATTCATTTTATTGATGTGTTATCCGTTCGGGTGTCAACGTATTGAGCTTCAATTGAATGTGTTCGATGAAAATTGCATTGAAATATGCAAAGTCGATGCATGTGATTCACCTTGTGTCAATATTTTATTACGAATTTATCTTCTACTAAAAACTGAATCTTGAAATACTTTCATAGATTTTGGATTAGTGTATTCAGTCACATGCAGTGTGAAATGTGAATCAGCGTCTGTGAAAAGCTATTCTATATCATTGCATTCAAAGCCGGCATTTTACAAAATTTACAAAAGATTTTCGGAAATTTGATATTTTAACGTTCGCTTGAATATACTATTTTATTGAAATTTTATGTAAATTAGTTGTTAGACCTGATCATAACAAAAGAGGTAGAACGCACACAAAAGATATACATACGATGAGTGTGCATCGTGGCATGATTGACAGCCAATCAATATTGTTCCTCATGTTCATTTCTATATGGAACATTGAGTATCGTGTCATGTATCCATTCTCACAGATCTTTGCATTTTAAACGAAATGTTATTCGATATATTTTACAAGGATTGTTCCTCGGCGGCAATGGAAATCGCACAAATGCAAAACCCACTTTTTGGCCAAAACAAAAGTATTATCGGATGGAAAAACATAGAGATCCTTCATTGGCAAATGCAACAGAAAGTAATTTATGAGCTCTTTATCATAATAAACGATCAAAAATCATTCAATCTGATAGATAAGTATATAACGCACATGAGACATTTTAAAGGGCACTTTATATGCGTAAAACCAACAAAATGCATAATATCAATATCTAAACGTCATATATTGATGAAATCGTAGTTTCTTGACCATAATTATTGACATTTGAAACTGCCTCATTGGAAAGAAGATAGAATATCCATTTTTTATTTCAAAAACAACAATCCTTTACACGTGTACCTTTGAGGTCAAAATGTAAGTCAAACAGTAAGACAGTTACGCATTAAAACTGTTTACATATCAATAATTTCTTTGTTTTTTTAATAGTTACTTTGGAATATATATTATGGAATTTTTACTTTCCTAACACAACAGGTGTGCAAAAGAGAAGTTTGTAATCGACCAAAAAAAGAAAAAAAGTCAAAAGGCATGAAAACTCGTTCTGTACGCAAAAAGTTCTTTTATTCATTTATTCACCGTCTGATCACAGACTGAATTTAAAAGAGATATTTTTGAAAAAAAAAAAAAACGGTTAATTGAAATGTAATTTTAGAACATGATTGGGAATGTACGAAAATAGTTTCTTCATTATTTTATATGATGACCTTTTTTTAAAACGCATAGTTATTAATGAGAAGAGTATCTAGAAAAGTGATTTTTCTATGAACAAGGATATAATTTTAGGGAGCACTTCGAATCGTTTTTAATGATTGTTTAATTTTAAGTTCAGAATAGTTGAATTTGACAAAAAAAAAATAAAACATGCGAAAAGTTCTTGAACTTAAATAACTTTATAGATTATAACTTTATAGAGATTTCATGATTAATTCGTTGATTTTTTCCAAAACCAACACAATAATCCCATTATACATTAACACATCCAACTCTCGTTTACTAAATTTCCAGAGTTTTTTTGAAAACAAAATTTCTTTGGCATTGAAATTGTATTTTCTTGAATATTCAAATTTATAATTTAAAATTATTTAAAAAAGTTATTTATGTTATTATTGAATTCTCAAAAAGATGTATATCTATTACCTAGCTCAGCGCGAAACGGACTATTTAATTTAACAATTTTGTACATTCTCATTTTTAAATCATTAAATTCACAATAATGTACAAATAAAATGTTCAAAATACATAAATGTGCCTATAATCTTAAAGATCATATGATTATGTCAGGTAATGCTCGTATTTTATTCGAAATTTGTAAAAATTTATCTACATTTTTGCTAGTATTTTTGTAATATCTGAAATGTGTTATGTTGTTACAATTGAATTTGGCAGATACCAAACAATTCACAATATCTCAATAAAATTCGAATTCATCTAGTTTATTTTTCGTTGGAAAACTATAAGAAGCAAAATGTTGAAATTCTCGTTAAAATGAAAGAAGATGCGTCTGACGAAGGAATCAATCAATTAAAAGCAGTTGGCGACGAATGCTTCTTTAGCTATAAAGGAGATTCAAGGGCTTTACATCAAGTTCTTTACCAAGCAAAAGCCCAATTCTCTACTGGTAAATGCAAAACATGAATTAAATTGGGGGAAAGCTTCAATATTTTTCAGTTGTCATAACACCCTTAAAAAAGAACCCAATCAGCTCGGATATGGTTGTATTAAGTGTTAGAAAGGCTACCAAAGGTACATTTAGGGCGGATATTCTGGCAACATAAGACTGACTTTGCAGGGATAAACACTGTGGATCTTATTTTAATTTAGTATTTTTGTGGATGCATTTAAATGATGAATTAGAATAAAAAATTCTGTACTGTACCCATATTTTGTAATTGTTTTTAAATGAAACTCAAGATGATTATTTCCAAGCATTTTTTTTTAAATTCCAAAGGAATTTCTTTACTACAGCGCAGAAAAGATAATAAACATGTCGTTTTAATGTGTGGATTCCACTTTATACTCCCTTCGTAAATAACGTTCATTTTTGATATACAATAATATTAAATGGGATTAGAAAATGATCGATACAATGTTTCGTTTTTTCTGGATGCTTTACGATGCGAACAAGTTTTAATCGAAAGAATTGTCCTATTCCAGAAAATTGCAAAGCTAAAAACTGATCTTCACTTTCTTGTCGAAAACCATAGAAAAGTCTAAAGGAATACACAACTGCCGCGGTAGCTCGGACAATTTAAGGGGGTTGTCCGGGCTTATACTCTTCCTGTGCCCATGTATACTTTATTGAGTAAAAGTGGCGTTACTATATAACTAAACACATTATATATAGATTTCTATCTGCATATAACAGCGTTCATCAAAAATCTCTGCAACTTTGAGAGATTTTCAGCTTTATTATTCCGTATTTCGTGTCAATTTCTCATTGGAATAAACAAAGTAATTTCGCATGGGCGATTAACCAAATAATTGTCATTAAATTTTATTGAAAACCATTCGATACCGATCGCAAATACTGTTATTCATTGGCGCTACACGATGCATGACGACGCTCTGTGTAATAATTACGCGTGGTTTTCGGAATTATCTTTCTGTTTCAGCCACTAAATAAACATTTGATGTACATAAACGTTTTTCTAATTTTCACATGAAGGGACTCTCTGTTTAATTGCTACAGCGGAACATTCGATGTGCATTACTGCATACGTATATCTAATGTAGTAAACTTGTTACATGCATGTTCAGGGATCCGCTGTATCGTTGCCACCGTTATCATTTGCATCATCAGGTACGATTGGTTTGAGATTCAAGATAGGACAGTTGACAGTAAAATTTGATTGTGGTCAAAGTGAATGGATGTTTGAATTGTCAGAGTCGAAATGCGATTTAAATAAGAAAAGCCCTATCACTTGAAAAATAAACAATTGTTATGTTCAAATTAGATGCATTAAATATGCTGTGGAAACAAGTTCCAAATAACAAGTGATAAACAGCAGTGAAATATATCGATTTGGTGCTGCTATAGCATATACAGTGTACACTGCACACCGTCTTAGTTTTTATGGTTGTTTTTTCTTTACGAACGAATGCGCGCGACATTGCCATAAAATGGAATTAGTCAAACGAAATGACAACATGTGCCGCGCGCATCACTTTTTAGTGAATACAGTTCAGTTCCCAAAAACTGGCGAGCATAAAATATGTTTTCCGATCATAAACGAAATATTTTATCGTGTTTGCTAAATAGCTTCCAAACATTCGCACTGTGCGCTGCTAACAATTCGCTTCGATAATAAAATGGGCTTAGAAACTAAATGTTGTAGGGCATCAATCGATGTGATTTTGTCGGACGTATTGTGAGTTTGGCTATAGGTAGTAATATTGGATTGAAATACGCGAGGGATTTCAATTCTCATTAAGTAACATTTCTCGTCATTGAACAATGGT